AGTTTAAAACATTAATTAAGGGGTATGAACTCACTTGGAAGTTTGAAGATAGCGAGATCGAAAACCGGGCAGAGTTTCGTCTCGGGAAACGGATTTTTCTCGGGATTCTCGGGAATCTCGGGAGTAAAATCGACTCTCGGGACTTGAGTAAAAATGACCAGGGCTTCGGGTTTGAACAGGCACGGAAAACAAGGCAAAACGCAAGGGAAATGTGAAGAAATGAGCAAGTTTTTCGGAAACCTTCGCACCCTTTTTATAGGGGCTGAGAGGCATGCGTACGCGGGGCGTACTCCCGTACGCGGCGCGTACGGGACGTCACTGCTGACCACATCCTCGGCTGCAGCGCTTCGGACGAGACGGGGAGGGGGTAGCTCGCATAGGGGCGACGTGGACGATCCGAGGCCGTGGCCTCGAGTACGCGGGGCGTACTAGGGTACGCGGTGCGTACTTCGGCCCTAGGTGCTGACTCCTCTTCGGATATTACCAAGATTTTAATAAAAATTATATATAAATTAATTATCAAACTTCAAAAATTCATATCTCCTTCATACGAACTCCGTTTTCAACGTTCTTTATATCCCCGCGAAGGTGAGACTATGATCTACAACTTTCGTTTAGATTCTGTTGGCAAATTCCGAAATTATTTTTATTATTTATTTAATAAATGACGTGATTAAGGAATTTCTTTAAAAATTCATAACTTCTTTATCTATCGTCGGTTTTTGCCAGACTTTTTACCGCTGAAATACTATTGACGAGACCTTCGATTCTCGTTTAGGTCATTCCGGCCAAAAGTCGCTCGATCTCCGATTCAAGTTTTTAGCTGTCTACTGTTATATCTGTAACTTAGAAAAATCACAACTTCCTCATACGAAGTCAGATTTGGACGTTCTTTTTATGTACGTTTACGGTTTGATGATATCTAAAAATTTCATTTAGATACCTAAGGACAAAAACTATTGTATTGAAACTTCGCGTTTTACGTCTATCAGTGTTGCCGGTCTTTGCCGAGAATCTTCGGTTGGTCATAACTTCTTTGTTATAACTCGGATTTTAGTGTTCTTTATATGCTTGGAAACCTTGATACGATTCCTACTACTTTATTTAACCCAAATAAGACTTTAGGAAAGTTATATTTTGACCTAAATTTGATTGGTTTTACATTACATTGTCTCGAAATATCGGGTTGTCACACTTTCTTCTTGCTTCGCCGCTAAATCTTGAACTAAAAAGTGGGGATAGATTACAAAAACACAAACAACATATGTCTAGTGAAAAGGTTGTGAATGTGGAGAATGGGTACGAAGGGCAATTTTGGTTTTTTTGGGTTTCTTAGTCTCCATTTTTTAGATTGCAAAACGCCAAAACGCCAAAACAACCATGATTCTTTCTTTCTTTCTTGATTATCTCTATTTTTTTCAATGTCGGTTTGTTAAGATTAAAAAAACTATTTAATAAGAAATAAACGTTAAGGATTTCAATAGGAAGATATCAATAACTCTTATGCTTAAAAAGTATTATATCATTAAACTTCTAACAAAAAAAGGATATATACACTAACGTCCTAATATTTTCAATGATTTGACAAGAAAGTCCTAAACTTTTTTTTTTTACAGTAAAATCATAAATCAAGAATTGACAAGAAAGTCCTAAACTTTATATTTTTGACAAAAAAAAAAGTCTTAATTAATGGCTAACCGGAAAAAAAAGGTAAAAATATCAAAAACTGTCGGTAATTAGGACTTTACTGTCACAAAAATAATGTTTAGAACTTTATTGTTAAATTGATGAAAATATTAGGACTTTAGTGTATATATTCCAAGATAAAATGGTCAAAATATGAAACGAATTAGGAAAACAACAGTATGGCACCATCGATAGAAATATGTTGCTAATTTCATTTATATTGAATTAATTGATGAATAAATAAATATTGCAAGAAACTATTAGAAATTAGTGGTGGTTATCCTCAAATATCATAATAGGTTGAGCTTAAAACTTAAATTTTGTTTGATGATCTATAAAGAAAACCTATGCTTAAATTGTCACAGCATATTTGTTAAAAAATCCAGTTTTTTATAAATAGTTGGAATGTCGGATAACCTTATGATAAATTGGCTCCCCTGGCAATAGGACACAGGACAAAGACACAATTGTATCTACAAAATCGAGTTATATAACTATGCATATAAAAAGACCTGGTTGTATCATTGAAACCGGGTTGTTTAACTTAATCATGTAGCTTGGATCATTGCTTTAAATCGGGTCATATAGCTCTGCCTTTTATATCAACATAATATATCCAGGTTTTTTGAATAACTTAATATATCCAGGTTTTTTGAATAACCGGATCTTATATGGCAGGTCCTATGTAGTCTTTTGTAGTAGTGTATTCAAATAAAAGTTATGCGTAAAAATAACATATTAGTATGTTTTGTTAGATGCTTATTTTGGTGGTTAACATGATCATGTTGATAATAGAAATAAGTTTTTATTTTTTTTACTAAAACCAATGCCACTAGATTTAAATCCGAAACTTAACATAATATATCATCCACAGTTAGCATTGCAAATAAATATTATACGTAAAAATAATGTATTGATATTTTTTATTAGGTACTTGTTTTTGAGGTTGACATGATCATGTTGACAATAATTTTTTTTTACCATTGGAGACAAAATCAAGTAATGGCCTGAGAGTGCTTGAGATCCATGCCAGGTCCTCTCCTGGATTTCCATGTTTATTTGCTTTAGAATTTGAAAAAAATATGTATTTGGATTTTTCGGTTAGAAAATGCTATTTGGATTTATAGATGACATAATAACCAATGAGAGACATAAAAGAGACACAATGGAAGTTGGGAGCTCGTAGCTTTGGGAGTTTTCACGATGGCTTAGGTAATAGGTAAGATGTTTTAGCAGAGGAAATCCTACATGATGGAATAAGTTAATCCCTATTAAAGTCAATATTTTGGGTTGGGGAATCTAGTGGATTGATCTTCAACAATATTTTGGATCGGAAGTACGTAAACCTTAAAATATGGAATAAACCTACACTTTCCACTTCAACAAAAATTTTCAACCATTTAATGGCTCATTATTAATATTCACCTATAAATTATAAGTACACCGGAAGAACTCATAGGTATATAGATAAACTATAAACAAATTCAACCAAAGGAAATTACAGGTGGCCCTAGGCCATCTGCAATTTCAAGAAAAAAAACATTTTATATGTGACAATATCGTAGATCATGTAGGTCAAATTGCATATACATGAGACGAAAATAGTAGGAGCCATATGTGTCTAGTGATTATTTTCGGAAAAATACTCGATTTTCAGTTATTTTTTACGAAAACATTAATGTATTTGACTAAATTTGTAAATTTCTATTAAGATTTTTATATCTCAAATGAGATTTACCTTAAATTCTAAACCTGTTATCATATAGTGTTTTTTTAGCACCACTCACATTTATACACATTATTATATTCTTAAATTTATAATTTTTGTCCATAGCAAGACTAGAACCCCCGATCTTTGGCTGAGAAATTTTATGTGTCAACTAAATATGCTATTTATTTATAATCTATATTTAAAATTCAATTAGAGTTGAATATGCTATTCATTTATAACCAATATTTTAAAGATATATGAATTTTGAATAATATTCAATTAAAAGTTTAAATGTCAATAACTTAAACATAATAACGGAACGATGTGGACCATGACTAAAATAAAGTTAAATGATCATTTATTTCTTCATTGACGTTAAAGAAAATAATGTAATGACTAACTAATTATTATTAAAATCATGTCTAAATTCGAAAATAATAGCAAAATTATTTTCCTTTGTCCACTATATTATATGACTTTTCTACAGGCGAATATAGTATTCTATCCAAATATTTCGTTTTATTATTATGCAATCATGACAATAAAATATAATGACCAAATTATATTATTTTCATCATTTCTCTATTGAGGGATTATTTTCATTCGTTTATATATGATTATAATCCATCATAAACAAACAATTTTTAAAACTAACAAATTACATTTCCAAGCATTGAACCCAAGTTTCATTCCTTCCCAACGGATTTATTTTTAAGATTGTTGTGACCAAGAAAATTACCGTATTGATCATGTGTTAACTATTCGTCCTTAGATCATGTTTTTATGGAGTTAGATTGGTATTTTGTGGAACGCACTGTTTCATGTAGTGTATTCATTGTTTAGCTTCGTTTCTTGGTTAGATATGATTTCTTTAGGTACTTTGCAAAAGAAGTGTTTTGATGCGGTATTTATCAGAGTTTTTGGACTTTGTTGAAACATTGAAACACCTTGTTATTTGGAACAACTAAATCGAAAAAAAAAAAAATACATTTTTAATGATATAATGCCTGTCTTTTTTTTTTTTTTTTTTTTTTTTTTTTTTTTTTTTTTAGATTTGTAATAGAAAAAAATGTAAAATACATCATTGAAATGATGTTTCAGCTTTAATGTAACTTTATTTTAATACTATTTTACCTTGTAAAAATTATAGTCTCAATAGTAAAAAGTTAAAATTATTAATCAATTATTTTATATAAATTATTAATTAAGAGACACTACTAGAAAACTGTGAATAGCGACAAAATTTTAGCAATGAAAAAAATCCATCGGAAAAAGGGATGGATTTCCGACGGATTTACAACAAACAAAATATTTGGATATTAGTGACGTTTTTACGAAGGTTTAGCAACGGAATAAAAATGGTTGGTAATCTGTGACAGTATACCGACAATTTACCAATGGAAATAAACAAAATTGAAATTCCGTCGGAAATCCGTTAGTGAAATTCGATTTTCTTTTTTTATTTTTTAAATATTTAGGGCATTTCGGTAAATATGCAACTGAAACTAAAAACAAAGCATTTTCCCTACTCTCGCTTCCCCTATTCTCTTTCTGGTTCATGTGAAGAAAAAACTCCTCCCACTTATCTCCGATCTTCAACCCTCTAGCCACTGCATCCGCCATCACCGACAGCAGCAAAGCCCTCCGGCCCCTCTAAGTCTTCGACACAACATACCTTCTCCCTCCCACTTCCAGTCTGAACTGCAACCCAGTGCCTCTTAACCGAGTAAAATTGCTGCCGTTTATCTCTCTGCCAACGACGGCCAACCTCGCCTTAGTCTATTGTCATCGCCATCACCGTCGAAGTTGCTGCTGCACCTGGTGGACCTTACCATTGGATCCAATTTCAACTTTTTTTCCTCTTTAAGTTTTGGTAAAAAAAAAAAAGCTTACGTTATTTTTTCTATTACATCGATTGAGTTTTAGGTTTATATTTTTTCTTCATTGGATTATCATATCTCCAATTAGCATTAGATAACCTATCAATCATATTTTGTTGATAAATAATCTTATACTCATCATAAAACTAGGATTCATATAGGATATAGATCCATAAAAGGGAAGTAGGACCATGTAACTTATATTGATATGATTATCTAGAAACAACAATATTTTCATGATGTGATTAAGTAAGCTTCATAAATCAATTATTAAGAACTTAATTTGAAAATAATAAAGCCTTTAATCTCTTACTCTTTGATAAAACTCAATCTGGTCATACTTAATTAGCAATCAGGTTTTCCCAATCTCCTAGATTCCCTGCATTAGTTATAGTTCTAGAGGGTTTATATTTGTTTTCGGTATTATCATAAAGATAATGTGTTTAGATACACTCATAATGAAAGTAGGTACTTCAATTCTCCTAATTCGATTGTACTTTACTTATTGCACAATCCATGTATTACTAAGAAATTACTTGCCTTCAAACCATCACTTGTCATGATCCTAAATGTATTAGTTGCTTGATTTGATAAAACCTATTTCATTACATCAATCACATCAACTTAAATGTTTACTTTCAAGAAACTTCTATTTATGTGAGGAAGATGAGAGCATACCCTTTGTGCATAGGCAATAATCAAGGCGTTATACATGGTCAATGATGGCTTCAAACCAGCAGACTTCATCACCTCCAAGCACTATATTGCATCTGTATAAGTAACACCATTTGGCAACAAACCTTCACAATGAATCTTCCCCCAACAAGTGTTTAATAACAACCCATTTCTCCTATTGCCCAAATGAATTGATCATTATGTTATAAGTGGTTGTACAAGGTAAACACCCTCTTTGCTGCATTTCACAAAACAGTTTTTCTGCTTTCTTATGATCCCCTGATTTACAATAACAATCTATGAGTGTGTTAATTTTCCGTTACATGATCAAGAATATTGTATTTGGTCTCTTCTACTTCAGATGCTTCCATTTCAACCTCATTGACTTTGTTCCAATCAGATTCAGGTTCCTTTGGCTCTTCTTGTTGGGGTTTAAATATTGTTTTAGCCATGTCAGATGATTGTGACTTTGAGGATTTCTGTTTCTTAGACTTCTTTTCAGTAGCTTTTTTCACAATTTCAACACGCTTTACTTCTTTCACCACAATGGACTCATTAGTAGATGGTTTCTGAACCTTTGGTGCCTCCATGACAGCTGGCATCACCTCCACGTTATCAACAAATTCTTCATTCTTGACCGCAACCAGAGGGTCAGAAATCAAAGCAACATTTTCATCTGTTCTTGATTTAATCATCAATGGCTTGTCATGTTCCTGTACATCAGGTTCCTTCTGGTTAACAATCTCATCTCTACCACCTTTTTGTTCCACTCTGTTGTCAATAAACTGGTGTGGCAAATGAATAGAATCTTCAAGACTTGGGTGGGAACAAATTGAGCCATATGAGGAGTGTTAGTATTAAGCCCTTGATTCTGTGATCCTATTTGCAACACCTCATGTGGGGGAGAACATTCAATAAACTACTGTTGTTGCTCAAAAAAACATTGTAAAGATTGTTGCTCATTGAGGACTTACGATAGAAGTTGCTGCCTCAAAATCTGTTGTTGTCGTTTCCGTTCTACTAATTAGGCATCTTTATAATAGGAGGTGTTACAACTTTAGTGGCAGTGTCTTTATATTTATCATCATCTTCAACTTTATTACTTCTATGTAACTCTAACTCATCTTTCCCTTTATCTTTATTACTTCTCTATAATTGTAACTAAACTTTAGCAGAAGTAAGTTTTGAAGATTTACTCTTATTTGCTGCTTCCACAAGGTTATTTAATTGCTTACAGTCCTATGCTTCACCTTCCCCTCTTCTCTTTCATCATGGATAGTAGTTGAACAATTCTTTTGCATATTCATTTTTATCTCTCATTAAATGACCTCTGCCACGTGGGCCTATAGTCTCCCCGGACTGCTCATAGGGCATGTTAGCCTTCAGCATAAAGCACGACCGCCTCAACCCAACCAACAAGCAAATAACCATGTGCGCATAGCTAACATATACTGGCATATACAAACATCAAACATATCGATCTCACTGATCACAATCATATAATTCTCCTGCAACTAGAGTACCGACCTAGCAGGTCACTAACACACCAACCCCTACGGATCATAAAAGCATAACATACTGTCTATCTCGATTCCGAACTAACAAATCATGACCACATGCAACAAACCATAACAATAACAACTAAAGGGCCGACCTTGGTACCGTAGACCCCATCGATATAGTGAGGATAACTTACCTCGCAGATGTCGACTCTGAAGGTAAACTCCAACTCTCGGATCACTCGACACAGGCCCTACCACCTATAACCATAGTTCAATATACGCATAAGTCTTTAACCTTATAAAGTACTCCATAACCCAATATTCAACCCCTGATTAAGGTCAAAGTCCTTAGTCAAGGTCAAGAGTCCATGTTGACCTCAACTCACCGAGTACACCCAGCTACTCGCCGAGTCCCTTGAAGCACAATCCAACTCGCCAAGTCATTGAGGTGACTTGTTGAGTTCCTTCAAATCCCGATCAAACCTTAAGGCCACCCGCCGAGTTCCCTCCATGCGACTTCGACGGATATACTCGCGAACATATTCTTGGTTAAAACTCATCCGACTCGCCGAGTTGTTCTTCAACCTGTCGAGTCTCATGACAATCTTCATTGGACTCGCCGAGTTGTTCAACCAACTCGTCGAGTTCAATGGCCATCTTCATGTGACTCGTCGAGTCGACCTTGCGACTCGTCGAGTCCATTCAGTCCTCTTTCCATACATATCCATTTTGAGACATGCAGGGGCTCCAAATCACAGATCCAAGCTTCTAGGGCATGCTTATCAAGTAAAGTTGCAAACTTTACGTGCATGCATGGCTTTAAAGGCTCAAAATGGCAAATCTAAGCTATTGATGGGTCTTTATGCACAAAGGGTACCTCAATCACGACTAAAGCTGCAACTTTATGCTTCTAGAATCCAAAGAGAGTCCAAATCTGAAGTTATAACTCCAGATCTGTCCCATAGCTCATCATTCCAACTTGATATTCCATGAAAACCCTAAAACTCACCCAATAAAGGAGATTTATAAGGAGAGTAACGGTTTGGGTACCTTTTGAAGTTGATATCTGAGATGAGTGTTGATTCCCACACTCCAATTGCTTCAATCTTCTTCTCCTCCAAGTCTTCTCCCTCAAGGACTCTCTTTCATGCTTCAAACACACACACACACACACAAATAAGGCTCTCAAGGGTTCTTTGGAACTGTAAGGAGGTCCAAGGGAGGCTAAGGTCCCTTTAAATAGGGGTGACCCAGGGAATTAGGGTTTCACTTGCCAGCATCTACTTGCCGAGTCCCAATAGGGACTCGTCGAGTAGGTCACTTAACCCGCGATCCTTCTCGCTGCTACTCGACGAGTAGGTAAACCAAATCGTCGAGTAGGGCCTAATTCAAAAACTCATATTAACAAATTTACTAAAAAAATATCTAATCACAGGTACAATCAATAAGCATAACAAAAATACAATAACTGAGACATAGAATAGATTACCAACAACCACATCTGGTGCTGACTTGGCCTCCTCGACCGTGAGCTAGAAGGCGCGACCCTGAGCCTTCGGAGGCTCCACCTTGACTGGCCTCCCATCTCCAATCCTCGCAGCAGCTTGTGCGGAACCCTACGCTGGCTTGGCGGTAAGCTGCGGACAGTTGGTCTTCACATGACCAACCTGATGATAATGGTAACAAATCCTCATATCTGCGGGAGGGGCGGACTGATGATAGTCCCTGGCATAGTGCCCCTCCTTGCCACATTTGTGGCACCCACCTCCTGCTCAATAAACTCCCGAATGAACCCTGCCACACTTTCCATAAGTGCGGCTCTGCTGACCCCCAGACTGTGTATTAGTGGTCTTAGACCGCTTAGGCGTCAGCTGAGACTGTGCCGGTGCCTAACGCTGCTCCTTCAGCTGCAGCTCTATCTCCAACTCACGCCGCTTCGCGGCTTCCTGAAGGTCCAGGAGGGTATCACATCGTTGTGTAGACATCAACTATCGAATATCAATCTTGAGCATACTCAAATAACGGGTCCTCTAAGACTGTTCTTAAGCGAACTCCAGGAAAAACATAGCCCTCTCCATGAACATACGGGTAATCTCCATCACAGACTCCCCATCCTGTCTCAAGGTCAGAAACTCCTGTGCAAGCTGCTCCACCTCAACGTGTGGAACGTAGCGGGTGCGGAACATATCTCTGAACTGCTCTCAAGTAACAGCAGCTCGCCGATCATTAGTATACGACCCAGTCGTCAGCCTCCACCAGTCCTTTTCCCCAAGCCTCAGCAGGTTCAGGGCACACCTGACCTTTTGGTCAGTAGGACATGAGCACATGAAGAAACAACCCTCCATGTCAGATAACCACCTCATAGCCCTACTTGTATCCTATGTAACATCAAACTTCGGGGGCTTCGTATTATCGAAGTCTCGGTACTGGAAAGCCCTACTGGCTCCTCCTCCAACCCCTGCTGCAGTTACAGCCGAAGTGGCTGCAACGGAAGTTGTCTCTGCTAGAGCAGCATATCGTTCATCAAAATACTCAACCATCGCGGTCTTAATCTACCCAAACATCTCTGGCAGTTGCGCTCAGAATGCAACAACAATCTCGTCGTGCATGATCTCCCGAATCCTGGCATCCAACTCCTCTGTCCCTGTCTGAACCACGGGCTTGGGTGCTACCGGCACCTCCAACCCTCCGCCGCTCGACCCCGATCCTGATCCTGATCCAGATCCCGAAGCAACATGTCTCATCACCACCATACTAGAATGTATATACAAGTCATCAGATAGCGTAATGTCAGGAGACCAAAACCCAAAAACCCTAGGGGTTGTGATTTCCTTGCTACGTGCATGGGTCCTGTGCTTTCAGTAGTACGGGCCCATACTACCTTCCACACTTACCCATATTTGTCTCAAGTATTACCAAAACGCCCTAACAATATCATCAACATAGGAAATGCGCTCAACCCTCATTCTAGGGGAATACCAAATACCTCACATCTAGACTCACCACTTAACACGACTCTCACATTCATGAAACTTCCATCATCCCCTGCAGCGCTAATTCACGCTAGATGCACATAACGTAGGACCTAATAGACTTTCGAATATCCGATCCTACCCGAAAGCCGAATCAACATTCTCAGGCTATAAGGTTTTTATTATGCACAACCGTGATGCATAAACTAAACATCTACAGTTGTGATGTCAATTCCACATACAAGAAACCCTAGGCGAATAGGCATCATGCAATCAGGCAAATCAAACATGTGATTCCAGAAGATCTCTAGCCTAGCACTAGCATTCTGTTCTAACATATCAGAATATCAAATAACTGCATGGTATTTTGGGGTTTACTTACAGGCTCCGGCTGATTGTACCCTATGCATCCTCCATCCTTTATTTTGAAAACCATTTTAAAACTTATTTCCGAAAATCTCCTTGATATGAGACTGGATTCACACGAGTGTTCCTCCAATTCACTCAAACCAAGGCTCCGATACCAACTTGTAACATCCATAAAAATTCCCACCAAACTTAAACTTTTATAATCATAAATAAAAACCACATATCATTGTTTAAAAAATGTTTTCAAATCATTTTCCATCAGAGTGTCCAAAAAATCATAACATAAGGATGAGGAGCGATACGGTCAAGCCTTCGCCTTTCCACGATCTCCTGAAGTACCTGAAATAGTAAACTGAAAACTGTAAGCCCGAGGGCTTAGTGAGCTACCCCCAAAATACGAACACCATACTGACAATACCATAACAGTAATAATCAATCATTTAACATGCATACTGGGCCATCGGCCTGACTGGACCACCCTACCGGTCCTACAGTCTGTCTGGATCTATCCCGAATCTTCGGCATGACTGGTCCGCCACGTGGGCCTACAGTCTCCCTAGACCGCTCATAGGGCATGTTGGCCTTCAGCACAAAGCAGGGCCGCCTCAACCCAACCAACAAGCAAATAACCACGTGTGCATAGCTAACATATACTGGCATATACAAACATCAAACATATCTATCTCACTGATCACAATCATAGAATTCTCCTGTAACTAGAGTACCGACCTAGCACGTCACTAACACACCAAGCCCTACGGATCATAAAAGCATAACATACTGTCTATCTTGATTCCGAACTAACAAATCATGACCACATGCAACATACCATAACAATAACAACTAAAGGGTCGACCTTGGTACCGTAGACCCCATCGATATAGTGAGGATAACTTACCTCGCAGATGTCGACTCGGAAGGTAAACTCCAACTCTCGGATCACTCGACATAGGCCCTACCACCTATAACCATAGTTCAATATACGAATAAGTCTTTAACCTTATAAAGTACTCCATAACCCAATAGTCAACCCCTGATTAAGGTCAAAGTCCTTAGTCAAGGTCAAGAGTCCATGTTGACCTCAACTCACTAAGTACACCCAGCTACTCGCCGAGTCCCTTGAAGCACAATCCAACTCGCCAAGTCATCGAGGTGACTCATCGAGTTCCTTCGAATCCCGGTTAGACCTTAAGGCCACCCGCCGAGTTCCCTCCATGCGACTTTGACGGATATACTCGCGAACATATTCTTGGTTAAAACTCATCCGACTCTCCAAGTTGTTCTTCAACTCGTCGAGTCTCATGACAATCTTCATTGGACTCGTCGAGTTCAATGACCATCTTCATGTGACTCGTCGAGTCAACCTTGCGACTCGCTGAGTCCATTCAGTCCTCTTTCCATACATATCCATTTTGAGACATGCAGCGGCTCCAAATCACAGATCCAAGCTTCTAGGGCATGCTT